CTCGCTGCTGGCCGGCTCGTCTTGGTCGAAGCGGGCGTCGAGGGCTATGGAGTCGACCTTTGGTGGAGCCTTCTGAACTTCTACCTCTGGAGATGCTCTGTCGGGCTCTTGCTTTGTCTTCTTGATGGGCCTTGTGCTGGGACCCACGTCGACAGTATCCCGTCCTCTTGAAGCGGCGTTGAAGCACCTGCGGGCAGCAGCGAGGTCGCCCTGGATGGTGGCTACCCTTGCCCGTTTGGTGTAGAACTTCATTTTTAGATGGACAGTTGAGGGAACCGCTGTCAGCTCCGCCAATGTCGGCCTCCCCAAGATGCAATTGTATAGGGATGGGCAGTCAATGACGAGGAAGCGGACCTTCACCTGTCTTGTAGCAGTTCCTTCCCCGAATGTCACGAGGAGCTCGACATATCCCCAAGGTTTGGACGTCGAGCCGTTGAAGCCTTGAAGGTCCGAACCTATATATGGAGACAGATGTGAGTCGTCCAGTTGTAAGGTCCGGAACAGCTGGGTGTACATCACGTCGACGGAACTCCCTTCGTCGACCAGGATGCGATGCACGTCAAAATTGGCCATCTTTGCCCTTATCAGCAAGGGGATGACTGCGTTCGGTGCTCCGCCGGGGAGCTCTTCCAAGTAGAAGGTGATAGGCTCTGATCTGCCCCTCACCATTTCGAAAGTCACAGTTTGTGGAGGAGCTTTGTCGACCAGTTCGTCCAACTTCCTCTTGGCTGAGTTGATGGTGAGGTCGTTGAACCCGCCCCCGTTGATGACCATGGCGGAGGGGAAGTATTCCCACCTGCTGTGTGTAGTCAGGGGCTCCTGCAGGAGCTCGGGAAGTTCGAAATCCTCGGGCCTGGTTACCGAGAAGGCGGTCTGGATTGGCACCGACTCGTCAGATGGTCGGGCATCTTCTTCGGGCTCCTTTGCCTCGCGGGCTTCACGACGGGGAGCGTCGTTTCGCCTGTACTGTGCAAGCCTCCCTCCTTTGATGAGGGTTTCAATGGCGTCCTTCAGGTGGACGCAGTCCTCTGTCAAGTGACCATGACTCCTATGGTACTGACAGTACTTGTTTTTGTCTACTCCTGGCTTGGCAGGAGCTGGTCGGGGACGCTTGACGCCACCGTCTTTAAAATCTGTGCTTGCACACTCCGCCAGAATACGCTCGCGGGAAGCCGTGAGCGGAGTGTACTCAGTAAACCGGCCCGAGGGGCCCCTTTGTTCCCGGACCTCCCGGGGTCTGTCTTCCTTCCTCTTCTCTCCGGTGCGTCGGGGAGGGGGGTCTTGTCTCGAGCTGCTTCCATGATTGCGAGCCCTGGAGTCTCGTGCCCTGTTGGCAGCTTCTCTCTCCTCGTAGTCCATGTATGCTCGGGCTTTGTCGAGGAGAGCATCAAAAGTTGCAGGTGGCTCAATGCCCACAGCTTTCCTGAATTCTGTGCCGGGGAGGAGGCCCCTCTCCAGCAAGTACCTCTTCATATGGTCCGCGCAGGGGACCTGTATTGCTTCCCGGTTGAAGCGGTTGATGAATTCCCTCAAGGTCTCATCATGTCTTTGGATGATGGCCTCGAGGGCTGCCTCGGTCTTTGGGTGGCGACGAGAGGCTGTAAAGGAACTGATGAACTGGTTCTTCAAGTTCCGCCACGAGGTGATGGAGCCCGGGGCAAGTCCTTTGTACCAGTCCATGGCCGCCTTCCTGAGAGTTGTTGGGAAGAGACGGCACTTGATGGGCCCCCCGACATTGTGATAGTGGAGCATGGCTTCGAACCCGTCAATATGGTCGACTGGGTCCGCCACTCCATCATACTCCTTTAGGTGTGGGGGCTTCTCCATGCCCGGGGGGATAGGTGCGTCCATGATGGCCTGCGACAGGGGATCGCGGGGGTCGTCCTCGTCGCTCCTTTCTGGAGAAAGAGAAGGGGTCCTGTAGTGATGTCTGGCACGCTGGTCGTGCTGAGATTCCCTCGAGCGTGATGCTCGGTGGGTGAAGGTCACACGCCCGTCTCTGTTGTGTCTCCTGTCGTGCCTCGATGGGTCGCGACTGGGCTCTTCGGCAGGGATGACGGGTTGTCTTTCATACTGGGGCCGCCTCTGCCTTGGTGGGGGAGAGGGGCTCCTAGAGTTCTCCCTGTAATGTCTCCGCGGGGGAGTAGGGTGTCGAACTTCTTCGACCCGAGGAGGTGGAGATGGTGGCCTTTGATGTCTCCTCGGGGGACGTCGATCATTTTCAAGTGCCCTTAGTCTTTCTCCTTGGGCAAATAGGAGATAATTCGTTTGGTTGATGGCCGCGAACAGTGCCTGAGTCGTGGCATCTGCCCCGGCAGGAACTGGGACTTCATGGAACCGGGCAGCTCTGCGGTAGGCGAGGGCTTCCGGGTCGTCTTCGAGTCTTGGAGGAGTTGTCGAGGAGGACGCAGTGTTCCCGTCCCTGCGGGTGGAAGGTCCAGGGGCGGTTGTCACGGGGATGGCATTGTGGCCGGCATCACTGGGATTGTCCAGGTGCCCATTCTTGTCCGCGGGACCGTTGTTGGTGTCGAGGACGCGGGTGTGTTGTTCTTCACGAGTTGGATCAGCCATGACAGTGAATGGATTGAGCTTTGGTCTTTGAAACTGTTCGTTAGACGGGGAAGCTGTTTCCCACAGACGGCGCCACTGATCTGACCTGATCAGAAGGTTTGGACCGTCACGGCTTACTCCGAGCTGAAGGCTTTTTGAACGAGGAGGGGGGGGTACCTGCAAGGCACTCCGATGCTAAAGTCAGTGGGAGTACGAGCAGATAATAGAGTTGAGGTTAGAATGATGAATACCTGACCCTCTGGAAACAGAGGGTATTTATAGCCCCCAGCGCTGGGCCAAGGTTCCTTCATTGGGCCGGGCGGATTTGGCCCAATGGAGGAACTGCCAGGTTCTACGTGGGTAGTGGGGACCCGCACGTGGTCCCCTTCCTGGATGTTCTGCGTGAAGTGCGGGCGGACAGAGACGCGGTCTTTCCGGAGTATCGTTGGGGTAACGGTGGACTGAGTCTGCCCTAGCCAGGCAGCTCGAGATCATGTCGAGCTGCGCTGCACGGTACCGAGCTCGACGCCAAGACCTCGAGCTGAACAGCGAGTGTCGAGCTGGACGTCAGAACACAGAGTCGGACGGCAGGGTGTCGAGCATGACTTCACTGCGTGGGGCTGGACATTGAGATGTCGAGGTGGACACCAGGGTGTCGGGCATGGACGCGACCCCCTTTGCCCAGTGTGGTCCTTAGTGAGTCCCTTTGGACTGGGCCTTAGTAATGCTTTTGGGCCTGTCGGGCCCAGTCCAGAACAGAATCTATTCGAAAATGAGTGAAAATTTAATTTATTAAGTAATGATTCAAATTATAAGATATCATTATCTAAAACTATAATATTTCCAAAAATATAAGATTTAGTTATATTTTGAAAATAATGGGAGAATGTAAGAGATTTCTAAAATATTATTTGAAAGTTTAAATTTATATTATAATTTATATAAATAGAAGCACAAATTAATATATTGGATACAATCGCCAAGAGGTAAGAAAGTACTTTATTTAATTCAAATGTGTAGGGTTCGACACCTACAAATTCAAAACCACAGCCGTTATCCTTAATTACTACTTGTGAAGCGTTGACATTGATTAATGCTAGTACATGATTAGATTAAGCAGATACCATTGATGCCTAATTGATTCTTTGACTAAAAGTAGGGTTTATGTTACCTATAAATATGCATTGTAATAGTTTAGCTGATCACACTGCAAACACCACTTTACATCTTTATCAACTTGGCTTCTCACAAGGAAGTCTTATTCTCTCTATCTCTCTTGGTGAGTTTGTCAACAACATTGTTTTACTTAATTAAAAAGCACGCTTGGGTTTATTTTGGTATATCAAAATTAATCTTTTTATGCATTAGGTAGCTGCAAGAGCAAATAAGTTTTTTTTTTCTAGTTATAAAAGAAGTTACAAAGTAACTTAAAAAAATCATTCCACTTTTGAGTTTTGACTACCATACATTAGACATATTATTATGATTTTGTTTCTCATGCATTCACCATAACATGTTTGGAAATTCATTCAGTTCTGTACTCATACTACTGTTTTTGTAGAGTACTAGCTAATAATATTTCTTCACAAATTTAAACAAAAATTACTAATTGTGCAATATAAAAAATGGTTTCTTGAATAGCCGTCTCAATTTTTTTTTATGTTTATATCTAAATTAACCGTAATTTCGCCTTCTATATTGTTAAAGACTGTTTCGATCTCTTGTTTATTTTTATGTGTTCATAATGTATATATATGTTTGACTCTCGCATAATAAATTAATTATATTAATTAATAGTAAATAGTTAAATAATAAATATTTAAGTAAATGAAGAAAATATTGAAAATAAATATTAAAAAACTATTTTAAACAAAACTTAGACACTTCATATGACAAAAAGGAATACTCTTAATTGTTTTAAAATATTGTTTGGTAGGACCACCAAAAAAGATAATATTGTTAAATTTAGTAAATTTGTCTTCTCTGGATGTTATTTAATAAATTTAGTAAATTTTGTTTCATCAGATTTTGATGAGCCACCTACCTAAAACTAGAAACAAATTGCCAGAATTTTTCTAAAATCATTATTCTAATTCTTGTTTTATCTTTCTCTTTATAATATTTATTGACTAATATAAAAAAAGAGTTGAAATCATTAGAGGTATTTTTTTAGTGAAAAAAGCACCTATGTAGTTAAAAAGAGGACTAGAATTATCACACTCAGACACTCAGAAAACAATACGATAAAGATTAAATAACTTAAACGTAATTATAAATGTCGGTGCCAATGTCCGATGACACGGACGCAAACATATAAATGCCTTTTTTTCTTTAGAGATGTATGTTCTACTGAGTCTTATAAAGATAAGTATAACAACATTGTATTGTTTGCTGATATTTAACGAGTTAGTTTCTTCTAACTATGCAGGAAATAGGTAACAAATTCAGCTATGTCCGGAGAACTAGGAGTGCTAAATGCACTGGATGTGGCAAAGACACAATTGTTCCATTTCACTACAATTGTGATTGCTGGAATGGGTTTCTTCACTGATGCCTATGATCTTTTCTGCATTTCCCTTGTCACAAGATTACTAGGGAGAATATATTACACAGAACCAAATGCAGCAAAACCAGGAACACTTCCACCAAATGTTCAAGCCGCTGTAACCGGTGTTGCACTATGTGGAACACTAGCAGGCCAATTATTCTTCGGTTGGCTCGGGGACAAAATGGGAAGAAAAAAAGTCTATGGACTAACACTTATTCTCATGGTTGTTTGTTCAGTTGCTTCAGGTCTTTCTTTCGGATCAAGTCCGAAAAGCGTTATGGCATCACTTTGTTTCTTTAGGTTCTGGCTTGGTTTTGGAATTGGTGGTGATTATCCTCTTTCAGCTACAATCATGTCTGAATATGCTAACAAAAAGACGCGTGGCGCGTTTATAGCTGCTGTCTTCGCTATGCAAGGGTTCGGTATCTTAGGTGGTGGAATCGTTGCGTTGATTGTGGCGTCTGTGTTCGATCACAAATATAATGTTCCTTCTTTTGAAGAAAATCCGGCCGCGTCATTGTTATTGCCTCAATTTGATTATGTTTGGAGACTTATTCTTATGTTTGGTGCTCTTCCGGCTGCATTAACGTACTATTGGCGTATGCAAATGCCTGAAACCGCTCGTTACACGGCTCTTGTTGCTAAGAATGCGAAACAGGTTGCTTTGGATATGTCGAAGGTTTTACAAGTTGAAATTGAAGTTGAAGAGGAAAAAGTGGAAAAATATACAGGCAGCGAAAGGAATAGTTATGGCTTGCTCAGCAAGGAATTCGCCAAGAGACACGGTTTGCATTTGGTTGGAACATGTAGTACTTGGTTTTTGTTGGATATTGCCTTCTATAGTCAGAATCTTTTCCAGAAAGATATTTTTAGCGCAATTGGTTGGATCCCTCCGGCAAAAGAAATGAGTGCAATTCACGAGGTTTACAAGATTGCGAGAGCGCAAACACTTATCGCGTTGTTTAGTACTGTTCCTGGTTACTGGTTCACCGTGGCCCTAATCGATTACATGGGTCGTTTCGCTATTCAACTGATGGGATTCTTCTTCATGACAGTTTTCATGTTTGCTCTCGCTATACCATATGATCATTGGAGTCATAAAGAAAACAGAATTGGGTTTGTTGTAATGTACTCATTAACTTTCTTCTTTGCTAATTTTGGTCCAAATTCTACAACATTTGTTGTTCCGGCAGAGATTTTTCCAGCTAGGTTAAGGTCTACTTGTCACGGAATATCAGCCGCTGCAGGAAAGGCTGGAGCGATAGTTGGCGCGTTTGGATTCTTGTATGCTGCACAAAGTAAAGATCCTACAAAGACCGATAAAGGATATCCGACCGGTATTGGGATTAAGAACTCGCTTATTATGCTTGGTGTGATCAACTTTGCTGGGATGTTGTTCACTTTACTAGTTCCAGAATCAAAGGGGAAATCGTTGGAAGAGTTGAGTGGAGAGAATGAAGGAGACGGTGATATCAAGGCCAGTGGCGAGTGAGAAGGATCAGGGATTCAAACTGCAGCAACATTATCGGCCGGTGTGATCGTGAGCATTGCAACTTGAATTCATGTGGTTGGTTCTATGACTTTAGAACAAAAGATTACTATAAAGTCTGTTGTAGCCGCTGATAGTTTCAGTTTGATTCATGTTAGTTTCTACAAAGTGATTTGAATTATGTTGTTTCAAGATTTCTAAACTAGTTATTGGTTTGTGTAGTCACAATAAGATATATCTCTTTGCTTCTTGGTGTAAGAGCAAATACTATGTATGTAATCTACCTTTGTAAAATTGTGTTAAAATGTATTTCCTATCCTTTCTCATTCAATCACAAGTCTTCATATTGTTATACATGCTGTTTTAATTTGATATGTTGATAGATATTATACTATTTCTCTGCTTAAATCTCAGTTCTGCTACACCCTACATGGTAAAGACATGAAAATTCTATCTGTCAAATAAAAAAGGACGGTCTAGTCCACAAGCGGATAGGATGTTTCCTAACAAATTTAAAAAGAAAATATGCTACGAAATAATTAGATTATGAAGCTTAACACAAGCGGGTACATCTCTCGCTTAACACTGAAAAATATATAACAAGTTCAAATATTGTTTGAAGTTGTCATTGATGACTAACTTAGTCAATATATTAATTGTATTTTCTAAAATATATATGAATCTTTTCAATTAATATTTATTCAGATGTTTAATATTTATTCAGATGTAACTGATTTTATGATCTTGTGAAACCACACATGACGCAGTCATAATCACGAAGGATTAACAAACGTTAAGCCTAGAACGAAAACACAAGTTTACAAACGATAAATTTGTCAAATAAAAAACTTTAGAATCCACTAAAAGGAAAAAATACTTGAATTGTATTTTGATAAAGGATAAACTGACGGTACCGTAAAAAAAGGATAAACTGACGGTCACGTCTCAAAAGTGTTTAAAACATTGAAAAGAAACCATAATTCTACAAATGTTCAAAAACAAGAATAAAACGGTGGAAAAAATGGAAATTGCTAAAATTGTGAATAATATTAAAATGATATTTTTGAGCATGAGATGAACTTAGATGTTTTAATAAGAGTCATTCTGATTTTATATGCACAACCAACCTTCCTACATTAGTCTATTCAACTTGAAATTCTGTCAGTAGTACACATATGTTTAAACTCATATTTCCCATATCAAAACATGATGTTATGACAGATTTTACAACATCTGTAGACAAACTGAACAACAATATCAAACTGAAATAATTTCCAGAATTTAAATGCAGAATGATAAAAAATACAGGCAATTGTTAATCCAGTTCGGTGCAACGTCACCTACATCTGGGGACTACCAAGTCAGGAAGGAAATCCACTATAATAATATAGTTTGAAGCCTAAACAATCCCAGTTTACAACATCTCTCCTAATCACTACCCCGTGCAACTTCTACCTAGAAATCACCATCTAGATATGAGAAATTACCATCTCACTTTCAATCACGACAATGATACCGAATGCCACAAACCTTATGACTAGACTTAAACCAATCACAATCACAGTGATGGTATAAAAGAAAACACAACTGAAGTTGACACATCAAATCAACAATACTTAGTTAAAGACTCTTAACTAAGAATAATATTTGGTCTTCTTAAAAGCTTCTCCCAAGACAATACTCAACTCATTACCTAAAGGATTTTGAGTGAGAAACACTATATCTACCACAAGTATCAAAAGATACAAGGGTGACTTACAAACACAAGAACAAAAGAGCTCTCAAAATCTAAGACTTAGACTTCACTTAATTTTACAATTGTGAAAGTTAAATTACATTAGGTTTAAGTCTTCCTTTTTATAGTCTTCAGCTGCCCATGGGCTTCGAAATATTCACCCAAATATTCCTTGATCCACGTGCTGAGGACTGCACGAATTATGCAGAAAAAGTCTCCTTAAATCTTGGAACATATCTTCAAGTTTCTTAAAATAGAAACTCTTATACAGTTGTAGATCAAATATCTTGTTCAGATTAAATCTTCTTGACCTGTGAATATACTTAAGATATATCCGAAAGGAATATCAGAGAATAAAATCAAATATGCCAAGAGATATAAAACAATAATGCTTGTTGTACCAGACCATGATGTCATAACATCTTCTTCGACATCTGGTTGAAACACTCATAACAACAAAATTGTCATGACAACTGATGTAGATGTTATACCGTCTTGCTCAACATCAGTATAGAACCATGTTTTACCAAAATTTAGTCAATCATAAAACTATGGAACTAATACAACCTCTAAAGAATTTGAACTCGGGCTCTCTCTTCTTGATAAAGAGTCTCATCTGCTTGATACTCATGAATGTCAACAATATTGAAAGTATTGGATATATTCATGATATTCACGAGAGCTACCTACCACATAAGCATTATCATTGATCTTTCAGGTCACTTTAAAGGGGTCATACTTGTGTGGTTGTAGCTTGTTGTAATTACCAACTAGAAACCTCTCCCTACATAGAAACACATTCACATCTTCTTTCACATTGAAAAGTTTAATTTTCTCACATTTATCTCGCATAGGAGGTAAATCGTTCGGTAGCTCATATGTAGTTAACTCCTTGAAATCATCTAGGGTCCCTAGCACTTCTTCTGGAATTATTGTTCATCAGCCCTCTAATCACCATTAGACATAAAATTAAGTTTCTTTAACAACCTCATCAAACTCATTTTCACTTTGTGTCATCACTAAGAAATTACACGTCTTTCCTTCTGGATTCTTATGAAAGTGCAAAATAGGAGTCATAACAGTTTTATGTGCCCCATATAAACAACATTCATGTTATCCCATTCTCAATAAGTCATATAATTATCAAACAATCAAGACCTACCAAATAAAATATGACAAACATCCATATCAAGAACATAACAAAATAACTCTTCTATGTAATGTTTTTTGATGGAGATAAGAACTCTATAGGCTAGTGTTATCGAATCTGGGAGCCCTTGCTTAGCGAACAAAGAGGGTATGGCTTCTCATAGTATTGATTAGACAACTTCAAATATTCTACCAGTCATAGTTCTTGATATAATAATATATTTTAAACAAATCATTGTGTTGTCCTTCATCTTTGGATGCAAGTAAGATTCTTTATAACACAAAATTAACCTTCTCATTTGATTCTTCATCTACAAACTCAATCCATGCATAGTCATCATTCTCAATTACATATCATTATCTTTCTTCTTCTCTTCCCTTTCTTCCGCAACAACAAAAACTCTTCTTGTTGGACAAACATTTGATCTGTGGCCTCTTCTATTACAACGATAACACATCTCCCTTGTGGATTTAGCTTATGAATTATTCTTCCTCTGGATTGGTGTTTAACCTAATACATACCACTAGGGATTTTAGTCCCCTTGTTCCTAGGATTGGAATCACTATGCCAAAAATGGCTTTTAACAGCGCACATTAGACATCGCTTTTATACAAAAGCGCTGCTATAAGTGAATTTAAAAAAACACGGAAATTGTATACAATAATAAATAAAATCGCTGCTAAAAGTGTGACCTTAGACGGTGCTTTTAAAAAGCACTGCTCAAAGTGTTGCTTTAGAAAGCGCTTTATCAAAAGCGCTGGTAAAGGACCACTTTAGACAGCGCTTTTAAAAAGCGCTGTCTAAAGTCATATAAAATTTATATAAAAAATCTGAAAAGCGCTGCTAAAGGACCCTATTAGCTAGTGCTTTTCAAAAGCATTACTAAAGGCCCATATTAGCCAGCGCTTCTAAAAAGCGCTGTCTAAAGCCATATAAATTAAAATTAAAAAATAGAATCAGTGTACTGTTTTTCTTTTCACAGACTCTCGAACACGAAAACCCTTTCCTTCTCATTCTCACGAACATAAACCCTTTCCCTCTCACAAATCATCGCCGTCCAACTAGCCCTTTCCCTCCATCCTCCATTGTCTCTCTCGGTTGTCCTCCACCCACACCGGCCGGTTCTCAAGGTAGGTTCTTTCTTGAAAATGTCTTTATCTCCATTGATGTCCAAACTGAGTTATCCTCCTATTGATAAGGTACTATGCTAACATCTAAGAAATTATCCTCCTATTGATGTCCAAACTGAGTTATAGATATGCATAACTGAGTTTTAGGTATGCATTTTGATTTTTCGGTTCTTGGTAGGGCTTGATAACATCAACACTTTTAGCATTATTGCATTTTCTGTATTTTAGCATTATTGCACTTTCAGCAACACTTCTAAGATATTATTTTTTTTTGAAGTTTGGATTCAGTTTCTGTATGTTTTATTATTGCATTTTGTATTATTGTCATGCATTATTGCATTTTTTATCATCTTTGTTGATTTGTGATCAAATGTGATGAGAAGTCAGAAGAGGAAGCAATGTTATATATTATAATTTATCTATCACTCTCTCTATGTATGTGTATATGATTATTAAGTAAGAACTTTCTGAATGTTTTTCTTTTGGATCTTTGTTTTGGAATAAAAAAGATGATGAGGGTTTCTTTTTTGTTATTTTAATTGGTTTCTGAATTGTTTATCATGTTTATATTCTCCATGAACTAGTATGTTTTTACTTGTTGGTTGCTTGGTTTCTTTATTTTTAATACTATTTTACTGATATAAATTTCAGAATTGTTTAAGCATTATTACTCCTAAATATTGTATTTCTGTTGGAAAGAAATATAATATGATAGAAAAGATTCATAAGTGATTTGTTTCTCATACAATTTTTCACAAAAAAATTTGTCTAAGAACAAATTCTTAAGGTTTGTGGATTTAAGCTATTATATCCCTATATATATACAAATTGTTTTTTATGATCCCTTTGTATTGGTGTAGTTAGTCAAAGACCGTCACCGATTCAAAGAAAATCAAAGCTGCATTATCCGCCGTCGACACCAATAACCCCTTTTCTTTCTTTGGTAAGTCAAGTTTAAATTCTATCTGTATCGATCAATTAAAAAACA